TAATCTGCATCTCTTCTTTGTTCTGACAGCGCCTGAAACCGACCAATCCGACGGCTCAGAAGGCTCTGACCACGCCCACTCACTACAAGCTGACTCCGCGTCCTGCGACCAGGGTGCGGCCCAAAGCGCTGACGTCTTCCGGAGCCTCCAAGTCGCAGCTTTTTGACGGCCTGGATGACGACGAGCCGTCGCTCACAAACGGAGCCTTCGTGCCGAGGTACGCCTCCGCTCGCCACGCCTCCGCTCGCCACGCAGCGGCAAAGTTAAATACGACCGTGCGCATGCCGACAGGTAACGCTGTCCGTTTCCTCCACAGGAAGAGCATCAAGAAGCTCGTCCTGAAGAACCTGAACAACAGTCAGTACAGCAGTCCTCTGAACAAGGAGAGCGACGACCTTGCCTCGCCGTCAGAGTACCCACAGAACGGACACAGGTCTCGCCACGTTCCTATTGGCTGTCACGTCTCTGAGAGTCAAACGTGTAACATGACCGTAGAAACTGCAGCGCTGATTCAGGCGTTTCCTTTCTCTCTCCTCCCCTCGCCATGTTCTCCTATTTGCAGCCACGTGGAGGAGGAAGAGGAGCAGCTGAGGAGGGTGGCGGGCCCCGGCAGGCGGGCCGACGACGACCCGGAGGTCACCCAGTTCTACGTCAACCCCATCGCCAAGCCAATCCCACAGGGCCGCGCCCACGCCAGCCTGCAGGACACCATCGGCGATCTGAACATGCACAAAGGCTCAAGGAACGGCCTCGAGGTCAGAACCAGAACAAACAAGCGCGTCGTCGCTAGCAGAGAACGACCGCCACAATAACGTGGTTACGATATCGGATGATGAACTAGCAGCTGTGAGATTTAACCACGAACACGAAACTAACCGCCGATTTAAGCTGAGCTGCAGAATCAGCGGCACAAATAAATCAGTGTTCGAGTCCCGAACATCAGCTGAACAAATTAGAAACATTAATCACGTTTCCGGCTCCTCGTTTTCTTCACTGCTTCTAACTTTTACATTTTCCTGCCACCTAGTGGCCCGAGGCGGCACAGCACGCTACAATCACGGTTCCTAGTTCAGTTTTGCTTTTTGTTTTTTCAGCTGAGCAACGATGACGTGTCTGCGTCCTTCGGCGAGGAGTCTCTGCAGGAGGAGCGCGAGGAGGAGCAGCAGCTGTCCCAGCAGTCTCCGCACCCTGCAGGTAACTGAGCTTGCTCGCTGATTTCAGCTTCCGTCCACGTTTCCTTCGCTGGTCAAAGATGCACGTTTGCTTTCCTGTTTTCAGGCATCGTTCTGAATCGTGTGGGCTATTACACCATCCCCTCCATGGACGAGCTCGCCGACATGGTAGACGAAAACGGGGAGTGCATCGTGGAGAACTTCACCATCGGCAGGAGAGGTACCGCCTGCACACGTGTGATGTCATCCTTCAGTCGTACGCTAACAGGTTTGAGCTGAAGTCGGCTCTGATTGGACAGCTGTCTCACCGCTCTTCACCGATCTGCTCTTTCAGGTTACGGCTCCGTCTTCTTCCCCGGCGAGGTGAACGTGTCGGGACTGAACCTTGACGAAATCGTCCACTTCAGACGCAAAGAGGTCATCGTGTACCCAGACGACAAGAGCAAGCCGCCGGAGGGGGAGGGGCTTAACAGGTGAGCGACAGGAGGTGACGGGAAACCTTACAAACCAAAACGAACGTCTCAAAGGAAAAAAGATTTCAGTTTACTTACAGGATTCGTTCACCTCTCACTTTTCTAAAACTAAGGACGGCGCTCGCTGCTGGC